TCGTCTGAGCAATCCACTTAAGTGTTCGTCGACATATTGTTTTTTCATAAATATCCAAGTAGCGAATATAACCTCTCAATTTTAACCAGTTTATTCACTCGTTTACGGCGTGAATAACAATCGCGGTGAACTAACATTAAGGTTTGGGCCGTTTGAAAACCTGGGGGCTTGAAGATGTCAAGCAATGCATTTTTTCACCTCACTTTTTTTTGCTCTGACTGGAAGACGACAATTAGCATTTTGTTTCCAATGTTACCGTTGTAATGTACACGGCATAGCCACCGTACATTTGATGTGCGAGCCAAGGAAAATTGTCTAACACCAAATAAACTATCTTTTTAAGTTTACTATTTCCTCTTGAAAGTTAGTAAGTACTCGGGGACGCCATCAATATTTTGAGTTTAATGCCATGATTGTGATTGCTTGAAGCGCTACATTCGCCGCACTGCGTCCTGTTCCTGTAGTACTGTGGAATACTTTATTTTCGCTGGAATTAATTTTCGCTGAAAAGGCTTTTTGGGCGTTTTGTATGAAACTTATTTTCACTGATTTTTGAAGAATTTAATGTGAAATATAGGAAAAAAAGTATATTCGCTGGATTTTATTTTCAGCGAAAATAGCGAAAATAAATTCCAAGCGAAAATAAAGTATTCTACATATAACAACGCGTGTAAAATACATTGTTGTTTACGCAATATTCAAACACGAGGAAGATAGTAAAATTGAAAGAAAGTGTGGAACTATACTGAAAGGAAATGTATTAAATGTGCCTTTGATGTTGGTATATTTTCGTCACTTGTGCGTCAAATATAGGAATGTATAATCGACTCACATAGAGAAGAATTTTTATTTTGTAAAACCAATATAGTGCAATATTATTTAATTTAAAGGGCAGTGGTCGTCGCGCAGGGTGTACTCGAGTTTCGTGTAAACAAACTATTTATTTACAAGCGTTGGTTACAGAGCGCGGTGTGACGTCCATCCTTTAAAAGGCGGTGGTCGATCCGCAAGTTTTGACCTGAGCGCGACGTGCACTAATCACCGCCGGTGACTTCGCCGATACCTGCCAATCACCAACAAAAAATTACAAAGTTAAATCTTAGAAACTTATCAGTTTGTACTTATTGGTCTGCCCAACAGTCAAAGTCGCCATCTTTGTTTATATGAGACACATATCTTGCGCATGCGTGGCGCGACGACCACCGTCCTTTACGTTGATCTATTTCTTCGGTCTATTTTGTAACGTAGACAGAGCAGTGTAGAACAACTGACATGATAGTATTTTATTTTTAAAATATGTCTGAAATATTAACTCTGACAAAACATACAAACAAAGTACAACATTTATTTGACGGATTTCATTTCCCTCATCGTGGGTTACCTATTTACGTCATTTTGTTTTGCTCTTTGATTTGAAATATCCAAATGGTTTACGTGTGAATTATAATTGAAATAGTCATTAAAAATTGAACGGGGGTTATGTCAACAACGGGGGACAATGTCTTATATTTTAATTAATATGTTGTGTGTGATATATTTTGTTTATTTAATATTTTTTATTACTTATGAGTTATTATTAAATTCGTCTTCTGTTTCATTGATTGATCATTCAGGGGAGAGAGCTAAGAATGCTTGTATATACCAGTGACGAATATTCAACATGGTTCCACTGCTCATAAATTCAATGTGTGTGACAGTGTCATAATGTTATTTTTTACATACCTAGTTGTTTGAGATCTACCGTCATTGTGAACATGCCAGACAATACATTAGCTACAGGACGGTGGAAGATTTCATTATTATACTCTCTTACGTAAATATAGTGCAGCAACTGATTATGTGTACTAGTATTAACTGTAATTCTGGAAAGAAAGAGAGAAACTTTTGCGAAAAGAGGGGATATTTTTTCCATTTTGGTAGATTAAATTTGCATATTTTTTTTTTATAAAACACGTATTGTTAGCATTTTCCCCTAGCAAAAGTATGATTGCATTTTCCCTGGCCCAAACGTTCATGCCGACAGAATTGTAAATGATACACCCCTAATAGTGTATAATTCTGTGAAAAGTTGCAAATCGCAGCATCTTTAACGAC